TCCCCCATATCCAATATATTAAAAAAAATGTATCAAACCTCTTAATCTATTTGAAACACTATCTCACTATAAATGGGGAGCAAATCAAAACAAATTGCTAGCATTATATGATATAAAGCAAAAATAAGATCAGCATTAGATTACGGAATACAAGTCTATGGAAGCACTAGAAAGTCTTATTTAAACATTCTTAACCCCATTATAAATAAATTAATAAGAAGATGTTTAGGCAATTAAACCTTTCAGTTTACGAATAGAAACTCATACAAAAATATTCAATAATAATATTTTAAATAAATCAATAGACAATTTTCCTCCATGGAGATTAAACCAACCAACAATAAACACCTATCTAACGAAATACAACAATTAACAGATGCAAATATAATTAAAACAATAGTCAATGAATTTCTATTTCATTACAAGACTTACATAATTATATACACTGATGGATCCAAAATTAATGACTCAACAACAGCTGCAGTTATTATAGAAAAAAAATATATCCTACAACATTTACCGAATAATACAGCAATTTATACAGCAGAACTTCAAGCAATAAATCTAGCTTTAGATCAACTAACAAATGAAAATAATAAAAGATATATCATAATGACAGATTCCTTGTCAACTGTACTAGTCCTTAAACAATTTGAAATAAATAATGAACTTATAAAAAATATAAAAATTAAAATACATAAGTTAATACAAAATAAATGTAATATCCATCCAAATGTAATATCCGGATCCCCAGTCATATAGGGATAATTGGCAATGAAAAGGTTGACATGTTAGCAATAAAAGTTCACCAGATCCCCATAACGGATATTGCGATTCCACATTCTGATTTAAAACCAAACATTGTAAAATATCTAATATCATTATGGCAAACAGAATGGGATCAAACAAAAACACATCTCCAGCAAATACAACCAAACATTGCAAAAACAAATATTAATACATTTAACAATAAATTTATGGTAAACAAAATTTATAGAATCATGATAGGCCACACTAATCTCACAACTATCTCTTAAATAAAAAAGAAATTCCAATTTCCCAATTCTGTAATAATAAATTAACTATTAAACATATATTTATTTGCAATAAAACAAAAGAAAAAAGAACTTTGTTTTCCTTGCCTGATGATCTAGTTGACATTTTGAAAATAGAAGAAAATATCATTTCAATGATAGAATATCTAAAAAAGATTAATTACTATGATATGATATAAATTTCATTGAAACAGCTCTTGAAATCATGTAGTCGAGGGGGGTTTCTTGATTGGGCTGTGTCGATGCATTGGTCTAGAATGAGAATTGAGCCAATTAACTTTTAACACCAAGAAGCTTAATTATATAAATTACTTGTATTCTACAACTGACGGGAATTTGGATTCGATGATTGTGTTGTGGCCAGAGTTGCTGGGAATGGCGCTGTCTTGGGGGGTTGAAACCGGACTGGTTTACTGATCTTACTGATCTGTGGTTTTCTCTTTGTGCATTTCACCAACATAAATAGGAAAATATTAATCATCCTGTGTTGTGGCGTGTCAGGTTTTTTTACTGTGGACATGCTTCGTATTGATGGCTCAGATATAACAAAGAGAAGATATACATTTCCCCGAAAGTATGTTGAGAATCTGCTGTGGATAGCCACTTCGGTGGAGACTCGGATACTGTAGGGGGTTTAATAATTTCTCTTGATTGAGGCTAAAAAATCCCTCGAGGTGTGTTGAGAATCTATTATGGCTAAATACCATGGTGGAGGCTCAAACGCCATTGATGGGGGTTTTTTTTACATCTTTACGGTTCGCTCGGGATGTGTTGAGAATCTGCTCTGACTGAATACCATAGTGGAAACTGTAATATATTCCAGAGGATTTGTGCAGTTTTGCATTTCTCTCAAGGTGCATCGAGAATCTACAGTGGCTAAATACCATGGTGGAAGCTCGTGTGCCGCTAAGAGAGAATCAGACCACTCTATCCTTAATCTTTATAATCTTTTCAATTTTGTGTCGAATGCCGTCTGTGGGTGACCTCCATGGTAAAAATCAAGCGACATACCAGGAACTTAAATAGTAAAAACGTTATTGAAGTAGAGTGAATGCACTGGAGTGAGAGTCATTGGTTTGTGGGACTGGCGAACGGTAGGTGGGTTTTCTCTCTTCGTGCTGACGTCAACTTCTGGTGCTTCTAATCTATGGTGTGGTTATTGAATCTGTTACCCGTCAACTTAAAAAGACTGGAATAAACTATTACAACCTTACCTCTTAAAATATACTTAAGTCAAAGATTGTCATTTATTTTTCTGGATTGATGTCTTGATATATTTTGATCGGATTCTTCCTTTTCGACTGTGATTGATTTTGAAGATGTAATAATAATAACTACATAATTATGAAAAAAAATAAAATAAAAATTAAGAAAAAAAATATTAAAATTACTGGCACATTATAGCACCATCTTGGGAGCTGCAGTGCCGTTAAAATCTACAAAAAAGAATGGTTATTGGAAGATTCGCAAACTAATAATTATAATTATTATCAGACTGTTGAACAATTTTGTTTATACTTTTTTGAAAATTTTAAAATAAAATCTCCTAATTATTTATCACTACTACATATAAATGCACGTAGCTTATTCAGTAAAATAACTACTTGAGAAGCTTAATTCATTTTTTATTGTGATAGTTACATCTGAGACATGGCTGAACGATACCACTGCGGGCCTAATAAATTTAAATAATTGAGATTTTTTCTATAAAAATCGACAAAATAAATCAGGAGGAGGTATAAGAATTTTTGTAAGAAAAAAATTTGAATGTTTTGTCAATGATAACATTGAGTCCTAAGATTACATATTTGAAGAATTCAGTATAAATATTAAGTCAAATTCTTCAAATAAATTGCCATTAAAAATCATTTCTATTTACGTCCACCTAACACTAACATTGAGCAGTTTCTCAATGGACTTGAAAATATTTTATACAAGCTCAGTCCTGCTCGGGAACCGTACATACTGGGGGACTTTAATATGAATATTCTGGCCAAAAATAACCATGCATTGAACTTTCAGAATCTTTTGCTCTCTCACTGTTTCTACCCTTCAATTGCGCCACATATCCATTCATTTACTTACGTTAATAGATAATATGTTTAGTAATTCTTTAAATATCTACAGCAGGAGAGTTATTCTTTCGGACTTTTCGGACCATAGTTTTATTTACGCTGTTTCAACAAATTCCACGGTATATGCTCACGTCAAAACACAAAAATTAAAAGAATCATGACAAATAATGCATTACAACAAATTAAAATCGAGCTATCAAATCAAGACTGGTTGTCCGTAGCAACTAACAATGACATAGATACGGCTTGCGATAATTTTTATAAAATTGTAGATGTTACTTTAAACAGACATGCCCCAGTCAAATCTGTAAAATAAAAAATAAAAAAAATTGGGTTACACGAGAAATAATAAAATTATCAAATATGCAAAACAATCTATATAAAAATTATTAGTTAAGTCCCACACAAGACAGAGTCTAATCAAATAAAAACAGTTCAGAAATTATTTTACAGCTTATGAACGCAGTGTTTCACGGTTATTACCAATGTAAATTTCTGACAACTAAAAACGATGCAAAACAAAAATGAATGTTATAAAAATATCTTAAATACAAAATATCACATCCTAATATAAATAGATTAAAAATAGGTGACAAATTAATGGAAAATAAAGAAAAAATATAAAGGTAATTCAATGCTTTTTCTTTATTTACTAATATAAATCTTCTAAAAATTACTAAAATTATTAATTCTTCGTCATCTACAACTTGTTCTCTAAATCTACTTCCTTCTAATTTACTTAAAGAATTTTCTTCAATATTTTATCCTATCATTCTCAAATTAGTTAATTTATCTCTTTCCACCTCCAAATTTCCTACTTATAAGAATTCTGTTGTTATTCCCATTTTAAAAACTCATCTTTAGATCCATCCTCTTTATCTTGACATGTTACTGGTTTCAAAGACTGTCATAGCCGGAGATGGTGATGAGGATAAGCCCTCATCACAATCAATCATTTTCAAGTTTCTTTAGTTCAAAACCAAAATTTTTGTTTTTTTTTTATGCATGATAGAACATGAGAGAACCCATCGCTTGGTTGATTATTTGGTTGTTGGTTTTTATTAAATAATTTATTGCTTATTCAATTAATTGTTGTATTTTTTCGGTCATTGTTTAATTGATTGCATGGTGTGTATATACTTACTCTATTGATTCATTGATTAATTGATTAATTTTTCTTATTTTTTTTGGTTTAGTATTTATATTTTTAATTATTTTTTGATTGACCAATTATTTGTTAATATATTATTTAGTTATTTGGCGCTTGATTGATTACTTGATTGATTTTTATTATTAGTTGACTGATTTATTGATTGTTTTTCATATGGTTTGTTTCGTTTTATTTAAAAGACTAAATTAGATTTTTGATTGATTTCTTAGACTGAATAATATTTTTGTTTGTGTGGTACATTATCTTATTATTTTATTGTTGGTTCTCCTAATCAATTCGCTAGTGTAGAATGCTTCCCATTTAAATGTTATAAAATGTTCATTGAATTTGTATGTATGCTTTTCTATTTGTTTATTTTATTTTATATTATATTATTTTTATTTTATTTTTTATTATTTAATGAAGTATTTTTTGTTATATTTTTAATTTAATTTAATTTTATTTGTACTTCATAATTGTTTGTTTTGCGAATTTTGGGTTTAGTTCAATTGAATCTTTAATAAATTGGGGTGTATACATTTGATTAATTGATTGATTGATTCAGCTATGTCAAATATTTAAATTTTTTGGCAAAATTTTCGCGATATGTATTTTTGATTTTTGGTACTATTTAAAGTTTCGTTAACGCTTCTGATTTCTAATTTACTTTGAGTTTGGGAAAGGTTTTAAGAAATTTAGTTTTTGTCGAAAGTTTTTTAAATGGAAAAATCGGATAAAAACGATCGCAAAGTGGCTTGGCTACAAGTTTCTAAATTCCACAAAGTATCAACGAGAATGTTCAAAAGAAGTTATAATACTGAAATGAAAATTCAAAAAGTAAATTTTTTATATATTTAATTTTTATATTATTATCTTATTTTAAAACTTTCAATTAAATTAACGCTTCTCTTTCTCTCAAGTATCTCACGTTAATATTCATTATAACCTGTCAATTACGTAATTTAATTTAATTTTTATATTGTGTCAGAAATGTTTAGTAATGTAATTTTGTAATCTCTAACTGTAACTCTAATCTCTAATCACTAATTCAAATTGACAAAGGTATGTGTGTATTTGAACTCTTAATTAAAATTAAAACACTTATTTATCATATATTATAATTATATAATTTATATTTTATAACAATGCTTGCAGTTCAAAAATTAAGTCTTTTATGTTAAAAATTGTGTTGTAACTGATAATTTCTTAGTTTATTCTAAAACTAACATATATTTGTTGTAACCTCTAACTAACCAGTCTAACAATAACTGTTAGAGTGAAAAAATACCATATTGGAATATAAACCTTCATCTACCTAACCTGCCGTTTTTCAGGTTAGAGTTAACCTTGAAAAAGAGGTTATCTAAGGATTCAGGCTTTGAAACTAATTCTTTGGAGAATTTTGCTGCCAGATGGCTGTTTATTGCATAGTATTGAATAGTGATGCCACTATTCAAAATCTGATTTAATTGCCAAAAGTTGTGCGACTTCTTTGTTTTGTTTTGGCTATTCCTTTTATCTTTTTCATCATTTTGATGACAGTGTAATTGTAGCAAGCTTTTTAAAATATTCTTTTAATTACTTTCAACTGTTTTAGAAAGGCTTGGTAGAATACCTGGTTAATGTGAATTGGAGACTGAATTTTGGAGTTATAAGAAATGAGGTCATAAGATGATAACTTGGAAAATATCCCTAACTAAAAAGTTAAAATAAAAAAATTGAAAGACCTGGCAATAAATGAATGGGACCGCACTATATTGTGAACTGGAAGTGGTCATTGGTAAAATCAGAGATCCATACAGTAGTTTTATGTTACATCTAAATGATGCTGGTCTTCTCTTAATAAAGATATTTTTCTTCAACGTCTTACAGAAACTATTTTTGATACTTCCTTATTTTCTGATGTTGATCATTTTGTCTATGCTTTTAATAATCACATTACTTCTATTCTTGATAAGCTTATTTTTTTTTAAATCATTTACTTATAGGCTCTATTCTTGTAAGGCACCTTAGTTCGGCTATGCTTGTGTAATAGCTAAGAAAAGTGTTAGAAGACTGGAGAAAGCCTATAGGTTAAATCCATCTAACTCCCTTTATTCTATCTATGAATCTGAATTAATTAATTATAAATATCTACTATTTTCTAGACACTCTACTTTTTTAAGAAATTCTATAATATCTGCTTCAACATCTAAAAATAGGTGGTCTGTTCTATCTAAACTTCTTCATAAGAAATCCTCTAACTCATTTTTTTCTGCTCGATCAACAGTTTCATGACTTTTTTGTAAATAAAATTAATTCTTTAAGAACATCTAATTTTAATTTTTCTACTCATAACTTTACTAAACTTGCTACTGAATCTTTGTCTGTATTTACTTCTATAAATTTTCTAGAACTTACTGAAATTATTAATTCTATGTCATCTGCAACTTGTTCTCCAGATCTACTTCCTTCTAATTTACTTAAAGAATTTTCTTCAATATTTTATCCTATCATTCTCAAATTAGTTAATTCATCTCTTTCCACTTCTTAATATCTTACTTTGTATAAGAATTCTATTGTTATTCCTATTCTTAAAAACTCATCTTTAGATCCTTCCTATTTATCTAACTATAGATATTATAGTAATTAATATTACTTTCATCTCTAAAATAACAGAAAAAGTAGTTTATAATCAATTGTCATCTTATTTAAACTCTAACTTTTTCTAACTGTATCTCAATCTGGTTTCAGACCCGCTCACAGTACTGAAACTTCTTTACTCAAAATACATAATGATATCCTTTTTTCTAGTCCTGGGCATGACATAAAACTGCATCCACGCTGCCTTGCGTGGTTTTGAGCAAAAGGCTAGGCCCACCGCTTATAACTGGTGGTTGTCGTCAGGATGGGTGTCCGGATGTAAAAACTTTTCCCCAAATTACTCTTATGCCATCACAAAGAAAAACAACGGCCCCTAGTCCCCAGCAGGCCTTAAGTGGTCAAGGGGTGCCAAGAATCCCTGGGAAATATGCAATAGCGGAGGGATGTTGCAGAAAAAATCAGAATGGCCCCTCATGGTACTTAGACTTGAAACGCTCAATGTTGGATCACTGACTGGCCGCCGCATGGAATTCGCAGAAATTCTCGAGCGTAGAAGGATTGACATCTGCTGCTCTCAGGAGAGCCAATGGAATCAAATGGTGTCTGTCATGTCAACTCAGACGAAGAAAAATATAAACTACTTTGGAATGGTCAAAAGACGGCGAAAATTGGTGTTGGAATTTTTGTCAGAGAACCGCTAGCCCAAGAAGTACTGGATATTAAAAGAATTAATTCACGTCTCATGTGGATCAAGCTTCGCATAGAAAAGAAAACAATGATTATTTTTTCTGCACCACAGACAGGCGAATCAGAAGAGGTGAAAAATGACTTTTGGGCTGCATTCTCTGACACCATCTCAACAATACCAAAATCTGAAACAATCCTGATTGGAGGTGATCTCACTGGCCACGTTGGAGAGAAAACAGATGGTTTTGACAACGTTCATGGCGGTTTTGGTTATGGAGAACGGAATGAAGATGGCAACCGCATCCTTGAGTTTGCCGAAAGTCACGGGTTTGGTTTACTGAACACATATTTAAGAAAGAGGTTGGAACATCTCATAACATTCAAAAGTGGACCATCAGCCACGCAAATTGATTTCTTCGCTGTCAAGCAACAACACCGAAGGCTATTCAAAAACGTTAAAGTTATACCTGGTGAATCATGTGTCGCCCAACATAGACTCCTTGTGGCAGACCTGGTTGTCAAACTGTCAAAACATAAGTTTAAACAAATGCCTCGGAGAATCAAAAAGTGGAAGCTGAAAAGCAATATTCATCGAGAAAAATTTCAACAGATTGAAAGCTATGAAGGATGGAAAGGCAGCAGGGCCCTATGGACCCACAAATGACATTATCAAAGCATCTGGTACTGTAGGTAGCCAAACGTTACTACAACTTTGCCGTGAAGTGTGGAGAAATTGCTCAATGCCGACTGAATGGAACTATAGCATGACAGTCCCACTATACAAAAGCAAAGGTCATCCATTGAACTGTTCATCATATCAGGGTATACGTCTGTTAGAACACTCTCTGAAAATTGTCGAGAAAATCATTGAGAGAAGATTAAAGTCGTGCTTCACAATCGGAAATTAACAATTTGGTTTCCTAGCGGAAAAATCAACAATTGATCCAATTCACATCCTTCGGCTACTGCAAGAAAAGTACCTCGCAAAGCATCAACAACTATCACACATTTTTGTAAACCTTGAAAAAGCATTTGATCGAGTTGACACTTGATTGAATTGTTACCTACACCAGCTATACAAACTGAACAGGGCCATCGTCCAGTAGCTGTGGATTGGATAGATTCACCAGTGTTTATTGCTTTGGTTTTGCTGATGTTGACTTTGAATCCATGATCGGCGAGTTCCAATCTTCAAACATCTGTGCTGCATTCTGCTCAGACGATATCATCAGCATAAACTAGATTCCAAATATCACCAGTGCGTATTGGTTTTGTGATTTTTTCCATCACAGTTATAAATAACAGTGGACTGAGAATCGAGCCTTGGTGAACTCCAACGCCGATGTCAAAAGCATCTGTGTTTCCAACCGTTGTGCTGACAAGAGTCTTAGTATTCGTATACATTTCCATCACAAGTCGAACAAGATATTCTGGAATGAGTTGTCGACGTAGACTCCACCTGATTGCTTCACGGGTAACTCGATCAAATGCTTTTTCAAGGTCTACATAAATGTGTGATAGTTGTTGATGCTTTGCGAGGTACTTCTCTTTCAGTAGCCGAAGGATGTATATTGCATCAATTGTTGATTTTCCCGCTAGAAAACCAAATTGATAATTTCCGATTGTGATGCACGACGTTAATCTTCTCTCAATGATTTTTTCGACAATTTTCAGGGAGTGTTCTAACAGACGTATACCCCGATATGATGAACAGTTCAATGGATCACCTTTGCCTTTCTATAGCGTGACTGTCGTGCTATAGTTCCATTCAGTCGGCATTGAGCAATTTCAAAGTTAACATTGATGGGATTTGTTTCGTTTAACAGACGGTTGAAGTATTTTCTCCATTGTAGCTTGATCTCATCTTGTTCAAGAACCATCTCATTTTTGCCGTTTTTGATACATGAGGCACCAACTATGTCTTTTTTCGTACGCTTTGCTTGTTTTGCTATACGATACTGAGGTTTCATTTGTTCACCTTTGCTTTTAGTGAGTCACTCTCTGCACTGATCTGTCCGAGCCAGTGCAACTGCTAGGATTAATTATTGTAACTTGCTCTACTATAGTCTTCCTGATACTACTCTTTTTCTTTAAAGTAAAGCCTTTAACTCTTCTGCTCATTTAGTTGCCCGTGCCCTTTTCTTTTCTTATATATCTCCATATCTTGTTCTTTTGCCCTGGCTACCTATAAAATATAGAATAATTTTTAAAATTTGCACACTTATGTAAATTATTTCATAAGTACTTATCAGATATATTAATTGAACCTAAACGTTTACGATCGTCTTCTTGTTCTCACTTCTTCTTAACTTGTGTTAAACACTCTTTTGTTAAGTTTGCTTTTGCTTTTTCTGGCCCTTTTCACTGGAACTTTTTACCTACTTTTTTTTTAGAAATTTTATTTGTTCTTATTAACCCTTATCCAGAACACAATTTTTGTTTAGTTTTATATGTTTTATTGATAAATCAATTTTATCGGTGGAATATGCTTCTCTATAAACTATAAATAACTACTGCATGGAAAAACCCAAAACGGGTCTCTGATTTTGCCGTGGTAATTATTGATTGATTGACTGGCTGATTGGCTGATTGACTAGATGGCTAGTTACCTGGTTATCTGACCGACCGACTGACTAATTGATTGATTTACTGTTTAACCATTCATAATTTATTTGCAGAATTTGTTAAACAATTTCTAAGACTTAGGCGTGACTAATCATTCAGTTTAGTTCCTTTCGTGTATAAACGAAATTAAGTAAAATTCTATCATGTTTTTGTAAATAAATTTTCTAAGCCGGCTGCTTTTGTTGAAGATTTTAGTAAAAAAAACATTATCAAAGGTAATTGGCTAATTTGAGCTGAACTACCAATTCCTTGACATTGGTTAATTTATATCTAATAAATGTTGTCCAGTTAAATAAAGAAAACATCTATAAACAAGATTATTGTTTTTTTCTGCCTACTAGTGCTAACATGAAGATTGTCATAATTTTCAGTTCATTAGCAAAACATTAATAATAAATTGTCTTTACTGTAGGAAAGAGCAAAACAACTGAAGGATCAAAGAACTCAAATGCTCAATGATGTTCATTATTATTTATTTGAAATTGTAGCTACTCACTTTGAAATTAATGTATCCGAAATTATTGATGCTGTAACTGACTATAAATTGGTTGTTTTCTCTTATTCAACATTTTTTCATTCTTTTTTAATTTGTTTTTATTGGTTTTATTTTGATTATATTTTAATTTGTGGTAATTTGATTGATTAAACTTTTAATTTATTCGTTGTTTTCTAAAAGATTTTATCAATAACTTGTTAATTAAATTATGCCCTGGGTTTCTAAACAAAATCTATGTAATTTCTCTGAACATGTACCATAAATTGAAAATAAATTTCAAATATTGAAGTATTGAAAATCAAATACATATATTGCTTGCTCTTCACCTGTAGTTGTAATCAATATTGAGCACATTTTTGGCTACATTTTTTAGACAGCTTACATAAAAAGTGCGGATTTTTAAATGATGAGAGTGCAAGGTTATGGAATGAAGGACGATGTATGACAATATAGATCTTCGGTATGGTAGTTGTGCTTAGATCTTTTTTTGACCATTTTCCATGTCATCACAAAAAAAGAAAAGATCCCCTATTCCCTGGAAAACTTAAAATGATCAAAGGGTGACAATATCCAGGAAGTACACAACAGTGGAGAGATGTTGAGGAAAATCGGACATCCCATTCTGAAATATCAGACTTGGCACTTTAAATACTGGATTGCTTACTGGAGATTGTCGACATGCTGAAAAGGCGAAGGGTTGACATCTGTTATCTGCAAGAAACAAGATGAAAATCAAATGGTGTCTTTTTCGTTTGGAGTTACAAGTTGTTCTGGAATAGCAAAGAAATCAATCAATCAGTCTTTGTTTAGCGTCCAGAGACCCCTTCCCCCGAGGTAGGACGTTGTTTTTTTTGTCATCAATTTTTATTGCGACACATTAGACGATCAGTTGTATCCATTTCATTTAAATTTAGAGCTTTCATGTCTTGCTCGATTGTTTGCGACCAGGACTTTTTTGGACGGCCTTTGGGTCGTGGGCCAGGTACTTCAACATTTGCAAGAAAGGTTATGGCACTGTTTCCACTTTGTTTGACATGACCAAACCACTGCAGACGGTGTACCGACATTTGTCCTTTATATCATCAAAACCAACACGACGCAGGATTTCGTTAGATTTGATGTGGTTCTTCAAACTAATTTGTTGTCTCCATGAGAGCATTTCCATATTGGTTCGTTGAAGTTGTTCCAGTTTGGTTGTCATTGGCCATGTTTCTGCACCATATAACAAGACCGGACATATCACAGATTTATAAAGTCTTGATCTTAGTGGTAGTGGGATGTTACGCCGCATCAATATAGAGGCAAGGAGATGCCATTTATTCCAGGCTACACGTATGCGTGCTCGAACGGCAGCTTCAGCTGTTCCAGTACATCCAGAACATCCCCTAGATATTGAAACGATGTGACTTTTCTACTTTAATGGCTTAAAAAAAATTGCTCTTTTTTAGTTTGTTGTTGTGGATTGATGCAAGCAGGACAAACAACATTGGTCATTTTCGATAAAGTACCAATTATTTTTGAAAAACGTTTGTGACACCACTGGTTACACTGCTGACACTTGATTGAATTGTTACCTACACCAGCTTTACAAACCGAATAGGGCCATCGTCCAGTGTGTGAATGTGTTCACCAGTGTTCATTACTTTGGTTTTACTGATGTTGACTTTAAATATAAATGAATATAAATAATTAATGGTCTTAAACGTAAGTTATATATGCCCATATCGAAATAGCACTAAAAGACAACAAAATGCAATCCAACCACAATGTCAGTTTTATGATCATAGAGAAAATCTTTGTTGGCCATATATAAATCAAAATTCTTCTTGAAGTTGGAAACAGTATCTGATTCAACAACGCATGTCGGTAAATTGTTCCAAATAGAGATCACTCTGTTAGAAAACGAATACTTTCTTGTATTTGCATGGAACTTTTGAACATGTATTCTATAGCGATGCCCTCTGGTACGTGGATCCGCATCAAAACACAAAGCTGGTGAGGAATTTCTATCTACCATACCTTCGCAATGTTGAAAATCATTAATATGTCTCCACAAACTCTTCTAAATCTTAAAGTTGGCAAACCAACAACAGAAACTTCAATCGATCCGAGTAACAAAGGTCATCTTGGCTGCCCGTTTCTGAACCCTTTCAAAATCGTCAATTTCTTTTATTTTCCAAGAAGACCATACACTGACACCATACTCTAACTTTGACCTAAATAAAGATTTATAAATCAAAATAAATGACTCTAGTTAAATTTTTAAAGTTTCTGTATAACAATCCTAAAAGAACAAAACATTTATTAATGACATTATGTATATACTTTGAGAAGCTCAGTGAACGTTCAAACAAAACCCCCGAATCGTTTACTTTACCACAAAAATCCAAGTTAGAATTGTTAATATTATAACACCAATTATTATCCAAACATGAATGACCAAATTTTATAGCCGCACACTTTTCAATATTCAAATCGATATTTGAATATTGGAAATAACATAACATAAACCAGTCATACAATTTATCAAGATGTTTTTGTAGCACTATTCTATCATCCACACAACTTATAAAATTAAACATATTAGCATCATCTGCATACAAATACATTTGAACAGAACTATCTTTCAAAATATAAAACATGTCATTCACATACACAATAAACAAAGCCGGACCTAATACACTTCCTTGAGGCACTCCACTACTAACTTCAAACCTTAGTAGTGAAGTGCCTCAAAAAGTGTATTAGGTCCGGCTTTGTTTATTGTGTATTTGAATCCATGTTTATTGATTTTGAACGGCGAGTCTGGTGTTCCAATCCTCAAACATCTATGCTGCATTCTGCTCAGATGTGGCTGTTAAAACAATATCATCAGCATATATTAGATTCCAAATGTCACCAGTGCGTATCGGTTTTGTGATTTCTTCCATCACAGTTATAAATAACAGTGGACTGGGAATTTTCATACGGGAATCACTGGTACAAAATGTACTGGATGTGACGCTTACGCCTAATGTCGATTATACTCAGAATGGGAAAACAAGTTCTGACTGTTTTCTCAGCATATGCACCACAGACCGGTGAATCTGAAGACGTCAAAAATGACTTCTGGAACACACTCTCAGATGCCATCAGGAAAACACCATCATCAGAGATACCAATGATATGTGGCGACCTCAACAGCCATGTTGGAGATAAATCAAATGGGTTCCTCGGCGTCCATGGAGGCTTTGGCTACGGGTTTTGAAACGAAGACGGTATACGGATTCTGGAATTTTCTGAAAGCCATAAACTCTCCCTGTTGAACACTTACTTCAAGAAGAAGGCATAACATTTGATCATATATAAAAGCGGGATATCATGCACAAAAATTGACTTTATTGTCGTCAGACAACAACACAGACGACTGTTCAGGAATACCAAAGTACGAAACATGCATCCCTAAACATCGATTGCTGGTGGCTGATATGATCATGGAACGAACGATCACGCCCTGTGACTGATCGAATGCCTACTAGAATAAAGACATGAAAACTGAAGAACCCCATATTCAGGAAAAAATTTGAAGAGTTGGTACAGATTGATCGTCTGGAGAAGGAAAACATAAACTGGAAATCTTTTCAGGACACCCTAGTGAACGCTGCAACAGCTGTATGTACGTTTGGATATGTGCAGTACCAGATGCTTTGATAATGTCATTTGTAAGTCCAGAGGGCCCTCCTGCCTTTCCATCCTTCATAGCTTTCAGAGCTTTTGTAGCTCTTTTACAGTGATGTCTTGAATCGAACCTTCGATGGGTGGAGCGTCAAAGTTAACATTGATAGGAATTGTTTCATTTAACAGACGGTTGAAGAATTCTCTCCACTGTAGCATGATCTCATCTTGTTCAAGAACCATCTCATTTTTGTCGTTTTTGATACATGAGGCACCAACTATGTCTTTTTTTGTACGCTTTGCTTGTTTTGCTATACGATACAGAGATTTCATTTGTTCACCTTTACTTTTAGTGAGCCATTGTCTGCACTGATCTGTCTGCGACTTGAGTGAGGTCTTGCATAGTTGTTATTCTCACGGAAAATTTTATGGTCATCAGCAGACCTTGATTTTTTCCATTGCTTGTATGCAGCTTTCTTTTCAGTTATTGCATTTTGTACACTGTCATTCCACCACCAAGTGTCCCGTTCATGCTGGCGTTTTGTACTAGTTTTCCCATAAACTGTAGTTGCAGCGTTCATCAAAACGGTTTTGTATGTACTCCAATCTGTACTGGCTTGCAATTGGTGGTCTAACTGTGTGGGGACAATCTGTTAAAATTTTTCTCGATGAATATTGCTTTTCAGCTTCCACGTTTTGAATCTCCGAGGCATTTGTTTAGACTTATGTTGTGACAGTTCGACAACCAGGTCTGCCACAAGGAGTCTATGTTGGCCAACATAACTTTAACATTTTTGAATAGCCTTCGGTGTTGTTGCTTTACAGCGAAAAAATCAATTTGCGTGGCTGATGGACTACTTTTGTATGTTATGAGACGTTTCAACCTTTTTCTAAAATATGTGTTCGGTAAACAAAACCCGTGACTTTCATCAAAGTCAAGGATTCGATTGCAATCTTCATTCCGTTCTCCATAGCCAAAACCGCCATGTACGTTGTTAAAACCATCTGTTTTCTCTCCAACGTGGTCATTGAGATCGCCTCCAATCAGGATTGTTTCAGGTTTTGGTATTGTTGAGATGGTCTCAGAGAACGCAGCCCAGAAGTCATTTTTCATCTCTTCCTATTCGCCTGTCTGTGTTGCGTATGCAGAAAAAATAATCATTGTTTGCTTTTCTAGACGAAGCTTGATCCACATGAGACGTGAATTAATCCTTTTGATATCCAGTACTTTTTGGGCTAGCGGTTCTTTGACAAAAATTCCAACACCATTTTTGGCCGTCTATTGACCATTTCAGAATAGTTTATATTTTCCATTGTTTGAGTTGATATGACAGACACCATTTGATTCCATTGGCTCTCCTGAAGGCAGCAGATGTCAATCTTTCTAGGCTCGAGCATTTCTGCAATTTTCATGCTGCAGCCAGTCAGTGATCCAACATTGAGCGTTCCATGTCTAAGTACCATAGAGGGGCCATTCTGAATTTTTCTGTAACATTCTTCCGCTATTGCATACTTTCCAGGGATTCTTAGCACCCCTTGACAACTTGAGGCCTGCTGGAGACTAGGGGCCGTTGTTTTTGTTTTTGATGACATAGTATAGTTTGGGAAAAGTTTTTACATCCGGACACCCATCCTGACGACAACCACCAGTTATAAGCGGTGGGCCTAGTCTTTTGCTCACAAGCACGCAAGGCAGCGTGGATGCAATTTTAAGTCATGCCCAAGACATCATCAAGATCTCACTCATATTTTCAATCATGAGAGCCTCCAACAGGCTTAGGTGCGCTACGAACGCCGCCTTGTTGCCATGTGAATTTAGTTTTGATTTTGATGTTTTTATATTTGTATCACCCTAATCCCACAAAGGTTTGGTATTTTTTACTTTCATGTCACAATTTATTCTAAAAATAATTAGGTTAACTCTTTTACCGAAAATCGTACTATTGATTTCAGTATTATAACTTACAATAATTTCCAATAAAAAATTAGTGTTTACTTTTCAAATTAATAATAACTTTTATTTCATTTTCCTTTTTTAACCTTTTCGTTGTTGTTGTTGCCCTGCGTCGAATAACGGCCCATTGGATCAGACGGTGTGGAGTCAATTTTCCACTGCTATTGGGTTTAGCCATAAAGCTATTACTTTGAGAATGTTGATGGCGGAATGGACAGATATCAATCAACAATGCATAAATATTGCTTATATAAAAACTGTTCGAAAACAACAAAAACAAAATTTTATAGAGTGAAGAATAATTTAACTAAGGAACAAGCTGGATGACAAATATATTTTATGTCTACTACAGCACAGGCATTTCAGACCGGCTTAGTTGAATCGGAAATCAAATGTGTCAGAGTTTTGTTTTTCTCACAGAATTGTTGCTTTATTTCATTATTTTATGCTAAATTTATTACTGTAATTGTAATACGCTATTAGTTATTAATATCTAAACAGTAATGGTTATTATAATTAAAACTATCAAATCCAGTTTAGTTTCTCTCATTTTAAAGACGTAACTGTCATTTCTGCGAGATCTAAATAAAAAACTATCGATGTTTCAAGAAATTTAGTTTTGCTTTGCTAACTATTCCATTACTTTACTTTTTTGTTTGGTTTTAAAATTGGGTCTGAACTTCAACAGGAAATACTTATTATCGCTATTAAATTTTCAACTATTGCATAATCCAGCCTTATGGCAATTTTATTTTTTCCTATTATCAATCAATCAATCAATCTTTGTTTTGCGTCCAGAGACCCGGTTCCCCGAGGTAGGACGTGTATTAATGTATTACATTTTACATTATTTTTGTTAGTAATGTTTTTGGCAAAAGTGATATATTCAATTGCGGATCTAGGTGAGGGGGACAGTTTTTAATAAAAGTCAGAAAAAGAACCGTCTTATGTGCAATGTCAACCAAAAATTGAACCTGATAAGCTGAAAAAGGTCGTCAATCACACTACCATAAATCTTGCCCCCCCCGTGAAAATTTTGCTCTCTCCCAGTGAAATTTCAAACATTTTCAAATTTTAGCTCCTCATCAAAGTTGCCTAGATCCGCCACTGAATATATTGAACAAGTTTTTTTATCGTTGATGCTTCCAGGCAGCCTTATCAAATATCATAAAACTGTTCTCGTTATTTGAGAGATGATCTAGGAATTCTGTTGTCTGACATTTAAACATCTGTGTTTACCTTTCTTGACTAACCGCATTTGCTTGTGATGCTAATCTTACCCAATGCAAACTTTCAACTCATAAATCTATTGGGCCGTTTTTGCCGTACATACGCATAGGGATTATTTTTTCCATTTCTTCGCTCATACACATAGGCGTGTATTCATTTATTTCTCAACTCATACTTCTAGCACCTACACTACCACCTTTCTTGACACTCTGTTTAAACTGAAGTATTTTAAATTCTTTTTTAGCTAATTATAACCGTGTATGTAATGTAGGCATTAAGCAGGATAAAATAATAATAAACAATATTGTTCTTTTTGCCTATTAAGATGTATACCTTTTGTTAACTGTAAATATAAATTTTAGTTTGTAGATCTATGTCAATCGTTTGTTGCAAAAGACGGCATAACGACATTGATATTTTACTATCAAATGCCATTGAGAGAAAAAGAGATGGAAGGTAAACATCTTTTACACAAAATATTTTATTGTTTTAAAAACTTGAATTTATTAAAACGATAAGTTAGTGAGCGATTCGTTTTGGTCATATAACTGCCGTGGAAAAATGTTTCAAATTTATAAAATAAAGTGGTATTGTAAAATTACTTTTTACGACTTGGACATTTTGGTGTTTAACTTACGCTGATAATATAAATTTTTTTATACACAAAGATTGGACGCGTTTAAAATGTATTGTGGCAAAAAATTGTCTGGAATCGGAGGCAGGATGTAAAAATGTCAATAAAAACAGATTTGAAAGCAAAAAAGTATATACTGAAAAGTTGAAGTAAAAACACTTTGTTTTTGTTGACATATTTGCAAAATGTCGGATAACATGCTAGTTAACTTACCAACGAGGAAAAGAATCTGGAAAAGAAAAACTAGCCAAAAAATAGATTGAGAGATTTTAAGGCTGAAATACTGATTTTTTTGACATTTTATAATAATGGTTGCTAGGTACTGCAAAAAATATAGTTATAATTTCAATTAGTTCAATTCTCTAAAATGGGTTGATTTAAAATGGAGATGAATTTTCTTGTGAAAATTGAGGTTGAAAAACTACCGATCTTATTGGCATCAAATTTTGTAAATAACAGGCTTTGAATGTCAAAAATGAAAGATTATAAAAATGTATAAAATTTATTCTCCACCCTCAAAAAGGGTTGGCTGAGTAGGGATAGGCAATATATATAATTTCTTACTTCGGCTTTTCAATGTCAAACATAATTCTTTAAATGTAGATGATATGGAGAGAGTTGGAAAAAAACGATTTAGTACCTTAGAAGATTCGATTTTTGATCAAAACATTGTGCTCGTGTGGTTTTGTTATTGGGCTTGTTGGAAATTACAAACGATAGTTATTTCTTAAAAGTAATTATTTTAGAAAGGTATTTAAGTTAAAAATATTAAAATAAAATAATGTGAGTTTTATAGATTTTCTGATACGCCACTACGGATTTCGATACATTTAATTAACGGTTAACTAACGGTGTGGTGTATTGCAATTGCAACTGTAGTGTTGTTGTTGTAATCGTAATCGTACTGTAAATATGAATAATAAACTAGGTTTTTTATAAGGTGATATAATAGATGCAATATTCTTTTTAAAAATTCTATGCCAATTTGATTTATCTTTCTCCAAAAGCAACTCATCTTTTTCATTTGTCATATTTATTTATTTTTTGTTTTGTTTCAACTTTTATAAAATACACATCCACTCTAATTTATTCATACCGTGCAGGACTTTTATTATATTTACATTATCTTGAAACAATATATTCGATAATAAATAAAAATAATTTTTTGTTAGTTACTATTGCTTTTCCAAACGTACATGTAAAAATTTACCATCAAATTAATATCAATCAATCTTCGTTTGGCGTCTAGAGACCCAGTTTCCCGAGGTAGGACGTTGTTTTCTTTGCCATCAACTTTTTGCGCCAAATTAGACGATCAGTTGTATTCATTTCATTTAAATTTAGAGTTTTCATGTCTTGCTCGATTGTTTGAGACAATAACTTCTTTGGACGGCCTTTGGGACGTGTGCCAGGTACTTTCAACATCTCAAGAGAAGTTATGGCACTCTTTCCACTTCGTTTGACATGACCAAACCACCGCAGACGGTGTTGCCGGCATTCGTCTTTTATATCATCTAAACCAGCACGATGCAGGATGTGGTCCTTCAGATTAATTCGTTTCATCCATCGGATCAGTTTCATATCGGTTCGGTGAAGTTTTTATTCCAGTTTGGTTGTCATTGGCCATGTTTCTGCACCATATAACAACACCGGACGTATCACTGATTTATAAAGTCTTGATCGTAGTGGTAGTGGGATGTCATGCCGCATCAATACAGAGGCAAGGAGATGCCATTTATTTCATGCTGCACGTATGCGTGCTCGAACGGCAGCCACAGCTGTTCCACTACAATCCAGAACATCCCTAGATATTGAAACGATGTGACTTTCTCTACCCTAATGGCTTCAAGAACATTGCTATTTCAAATTTGTTGTTGTGGATTGATGCAAGCAGGACAAACAAAATTGGACACTTTAGACAAATTACCAATTATTTTTGAACAACGTTAGTGACACCACTGGTTACACTGCTGACACTTGATTGAATTGTTACCTACACAAGCTTTACAAACTGAACATGGCCATCGTCCAGTAGCTGTGGATTGGATGGTTAACCAGTTTTCATTGCTTTGGTTTTGCTGATGTTGACTTTGAATCCATGATCGGCGAGTCTGGTGTTCCAATCTTCAAACATCTGTGCTGCATTCTGTTCAGACGTGGCTGTTAAAACGATATCATCAGCATATATTAGATTCCAAATGTCACCAGTGTATGTCACCAAATTCATATATGATTGAAAAAAGTAACAAAAACATTGCATGACGGTGTTTGTAATAGACAAAATAAAATTAACTTAAGAAACAAAAAAGTATTTCATTAATTTGTTTTATAACGTTTTCGAATTGAATTACTTGATGAATAAAATTCCATTTTATTAATGAAAAATTAAATTATAAATTCTCTAAAAGTATAGTTTTAGTTAAAAATTTTCTTACACCAACTTCATTGTTTTTTTCATTCAATAATCTACATGTGTTCATCATTCGTGTTATAATACGTTTTTATTAGTAAATTAATGAAGGAAAAGGAGTGTGTGGTTATCCTATGACTTGTTTGTAGATCTTAGTGCTAAAAGTTTAGAAAATCGTTATCTTAGGTTGTGGATTGGATATGTTCACCAATGTTCATTGATTTGGTTTTGCTGATGTTGACTTTGAATCCATGATCGGCGAGTCTGGTGTTCCAATCTTCAAACATCTGTGCTGCATTCTGCTCAGACGTGGCTGTTAAAACGATATCATCAGCATATATTAGATTCCAAATGTCACCAGTGCG